GTTTCTTGTGGTGTCCCTTTTCTTCGCTTGAAGATGCAGAAAACGATCCAAGAAGGACACCCGTTCCATCGCCCATATATGGGGAGAGAGAGAAATCATGAGCATCAGCTGGGTTTTCTGCCAATCCAAAATGGGCGTCCCTTTTAATTCAAACGAGCAAAAGGGACACCCTAAGTGCTTTCTTGTGGGGTGTCCCGTTTCCTCGCTTGAAGATGCAGAAAACGATCAAAACGGACACCCATTCCATCGCCCATATATAGGGAGAGAGAGGTTGGCTGCCAATCCAAAATGGACGTCCCTTTTAATCGCTTTCTGTGTCTTCAAACGAACAAAAGAAAACACTTAGGTTCCTCACTTGAAGATGCAGGAACCGGCCCAACAAGGACACCCGTTCCATCGCCCATATATGGAGAGAGAGAGAGAGGGAGAAAGGAAAAAATCATGAGCATCAGCTGGGTTTGCTTACATGTTCATTGTTATTCCTTTTGTTTTTTCTAACGGAAATGAACAAGAGAAGAGAAAAATAAGAACCAGAGGAAAGATGAAAACGAGCGCCATCTTCTCTTTGCCTGATTTTTGCATTTCGCCTGTCCTCATTTCTCTTCCATTCTTTTCATTGCTCTTCCATTTAGAGTTGCATTCCTTTTGATCTCTCCTCTTTCCTTTCTCTCTCTCTCCCTTCTCTTCTCTTGTTCTCCTTTAAATCTCAAAAACACACAAAAGGAAGCTTCTTTTCCTTGTTGAATGAAGAATGAAAAAAGAAGAAAAGAGATAGGGAAAGAAATTGAAGAGCTCCATTGCCTATTGGTTCATTCCATTTCCTCTCTTTCTATGTGTTGTTTTCCTTGTCGTTTCAGAAGGCAAGCAAAATAAGGGCAAGGGGGCTTCCTGAAGAAGAGAGAGGGCACCTATCTGCGAAGAGGTCTTGTCCTTTTTAATAATAGAGGGAAAAGGGAGAGACAAGGAAGGGAGAGATGATAGATAAAGAAGAGTGCCATCTTCTTTGCGCCTTGTTGTGTTCCTCCGTCTCCTTGTTTCTTGTCTCCTCTCTTCTGTTCAGTACCCTTCCAGAAAATTAAAATGGCCTCCTTTTTGTCTCTCCTCTCTCACTTCCCGTTCCCTTCTCTCCTTCTGTTTCCGTTTAACTGATAAAACACAAGAAAAGAACTTGAATGATAAAGCCTAGGAAGGTAAAGGAGATAAGGGAGATAGGATAGATAAAGAAGAGTGCCATCTTCTCAGCGCCTCGTTTTGTCTCTCCCTCTTCTCTATTCATCTCTCTTCTATTCTTTTCTTTGCTATTCCACTGAAATTGGATTCCTGTTATCTCTCCCCTCTCCTTCTCTCTCCCTCCTCTTCTCCTGTTCCCCTCTAAATGACAAAAACACAAGAAAGGAAGAACAAGTGGGGAATGGAAGCCCTTTTCCTGTCTTCTCCTGTTGCAATAAAGAAGGAAAAGAGCATAGGAGATAAGGAAGGGAATTGAAGAGCTCCTCTCGCTACTTTATCATGCCCTTTCCTTTCTATCTACCACACCAAAACACGACTCTCAGCTTCCAAATAGACCCTATTTAAGCCACCCCCCCCCCCCCCCCCCCCCTCCCCCAAACAATTTTGGGGTTTTCGGGGATCCTTAATAATGTGTGGGATGGGCTGGGACGGGGGCTGGGGGTAGGGCGGCTGGGGGTCGAGGGTTGAGGGGAAGCCTTGAAGCTTGAGGGTCTAAGCTTTCCAGGCTTTGTAGCTCCACGGTCGCCGGGGCTCCGCATTAATGCGGACCACCGAAACAACTTGCTAAAGCGAATCAGGGCAGCTCGTGGGCTACTCCCTTGGAAAATTGTTCGGGGGCCTGTTTCGTAATGAAATTTTACAGGGAATTCAAATAAGGCTGGACACCAAAAAACCCGGAGTTTCTTATTCAAAACTTGTTTTAGTTTTTGGCTCCCTGGCCCCCCGCCCTTCAACCCCAGCCGGGACAACATCGCATAATTGTGAACCACCCTAAACAATGGGGGGTTCTGTATAAGCGGATCGGAAAATCGCATAATAGTGGTCCCATCCACTAAAGCCAGTCCAACATTAGATTCTAGCAGAGTCTCTCGCGCTCTCGGCATTCAAGTACGAGTCATTCATGCAGCTTCCACCTCTTTCACCCTGCATCGAGCTTGTTGCTGTCGAGGATTATTCTAATCCCAATCCGAGCCTATATCTGTGCGCATGCAATAGGCGAAATTTTGCCAGTTAGCGACCAATGGCCGCAAATTACGAAAATTAACCACATCAAGCCAAGCTGCTTCAAGTATGCATTGTACAAATATCGCCTGGGCCAAGCACAACTTATTCCTCTGCTTGGATGGAGGAGGCATGTCAAAAGCCGCGTGGGGCCCGGACATTTTCAAGGTGTGCTGCATGAAGTTGACAAGTGGCTCACATGGTGGAACTCCTACGGCATACCTTTGTGCAAATTTGTGCACGCTGACATCTTCCTCAGGAAGCACTCACATCCGGGACGAATGCGGATACAGCGAGATGGAGATCTCACCGAAGTCCAATGCCTACTCGCACTGAAGAACAAGGGCACAACTGCGTCGGGAAGGCTTTGGCAGAGCTTGCTCAGGCCACCGCGTTCAGGAAGGGAAGCAAGTACCTAGTCAGATCTGCTTTGTGAACACAACTGTATATACATCGTGGCGGCAACAATGCTGGCTGCAGCACTCACGCATGCCGGGTCGCACCCGACACACGCACCAACGCGCAGCAACCAGACTTTGTCCAAAAGACCTTCATCAAATGTGTCGTCGCCACTGCTCCAATACTGTAAGAGTCCGTTCAAGAAAGGAAGCCCATTCTGCGGCGCACCACCGAGGATTCGCATTGGAAGTGGCGTGAGACGTTTCCTCTTACAGAGAATCGCGAGCAACATGAGCAGGACTTGTCGAGCAATAAGGGCATTTGCGGCATTTGTCCGTCCTCATCCTGTCTTTCTTCTTTTCAAGCGGCGTTGCATCGACAGGAGTGGACATCAGAAACAGAGCATCCTCGTCCGAGGCAAGGCTCATCAAGGCTCACATATGACATCTTTAAACATACTGAGCACCAAAAAAAGACACATAGCAGCAAATTTCTGTCACACAATGTACTGTACAGCAGTGTATGCTCTTGACGGTGCCTCTCCCATTGCCGACATTTCTTTCATCTCCTGCTGCTGCTCCCACTCCTTCATCGACTTGATAAACTCCTGCACGAGCATCAAAGACTTTGGGAACTCTGGAACGTTATTTTGCACATTTTGCATCATTTTGCACCACCCCGCACGCCTTGACTGCGAACACCACGAAAATACTCGAGATAAGAGCGATGGCTCCCGACCTTGGGTACGAAGGAGATGTGTCGCAATCCATTGCGCCATGCAAGCGTCGAGAATTGTCGGGTTAGGATGATATGAGGACGATATGCGTTGCAATCGAGCCCGCGGCTGAAGCCATGGTCGGATCGAGTTCTTGTATGTGTGTGCAACTGCCATGTCCTTCGCAGAAGTGAGTCTTGACACGGAACCGTTCGTCGACGTGGCGCCGTGCTGCACTGACATGACCGTGCGAAGCTGCTCCTGAAAAAGCTCGTCACGCAATGCAAAACTGTCGGTGGCGGAAACCTGCTGACATATAACGTTGCACAAACCATATCATATCTCATTGGTGTACTTAATTGTGCAGTCTTGATCATTTCTGACATGCCGTGTGCTTAGCTGCAACCAAGGTCAGTGTTGCTTAGTATTTGACCACGGCAGTCTAGCTGAAGCTAAGCCAGCATCCCATCTCTCACTTTCCTAACTGAACGGACGTCGAGCATTGGCGATACATATACGCATATATACATATATGTATTTTTTTATACGTATAGAGAGAGATAGAAAAATGAAATAGAATTAAGACGTTTGACTTTGCATTCGCGAGCATTCGCGGACAACGCTGGCGTTCTACGCCTGCCACAGATTCTCATCTCAATCGAATGTGGGCTGGAAATGGCTAGCGCACGAGACGAGGGTTGCCGCGACGATTCGAGCTAGTTTGGGGATAAAGCCCTTCTTGGACTTCCACACCGCCCGCTGTTTCACACATTTCATGGAGGAAACCAATCGGGGATGACTTCTGGTTTTGTTTTCTTCTCGTATATAGCCAACCCTCGACCTAAATTAGAACTGACCTGGATGCAGGAGATTGCTATATCCGAGACTTTCCGAGCATTTTCGTGCAATGCTGAACCGAGGTCTTGGCCCACGCATGCGCCTGCCATTGCTCTCAAAGCCACACATCTCTGACACAACCCAAGCGTATGAATCAGCGAAAAGCTCACTAAGGCACATGCCTGTGTGCCAGCATTGCTGGTAAGGCAACGACAACTTACAAAACTTGCCAGGGGAGCTGCAGCACGTAATGTTCCATACAGGGCAGCGGCAATTGCAATCTCTGCGAACGGAGACCTTGGAAGCTTCGAATCTATGATATTCATCTCCATTCCAGATGTGGACTCGTGCACATTTGTGCACCTCAAGCAAACCTTAGGATTCCGACATGATCGTTTATGTGCCAATTGTGCCATGTCCAGGGTCCCAGCTGTGAACGCTGCACTGGCTGCCTGCACCGGTGTCCGAACACTCGGCGCAAGCCAAGAACCGCTGCCTTCGGGATCGAAGAAGGGCAAATGAATTGACCCAGTGGACATGTCTCGTGGTGAAGTGGTTGGCCGATGCATGGTGATGCTAGTGGTATGCGGTGGCATAGGCCCAGACTGATCCCAAAGCAGGTCCCTTCATCGGGAAGGCACCTCGCTGGCACTTTCTCAGCTCAGCTGCGTCTCCTACTCCGCGCTTACTTAGACAGATGTGTGCGTTTTGGGATAACGGCCTGAAGCTCTCTCTGAACCAGCCTGAAGCGCCATCAAGTGCATCCTATCGCATAGTGATGTCAACGACTTTGTACAATTCAAGCAGCCGCAGCCTCTCGATGAGTGGTTTTAGACCTGTCAGATCCGTTCTTTCCTACAACAAGCTTGTCTGTCTGTATACTGCCATCCCAAAAACCAGCTGCAATCGGCCTACATATGCTCACTGGCACAGCGGAGGTGCTTGCAAACGGCCTTCACGCCGCAAAAGTGCAGAAGCACTTTGTCTCACCCAACCGTGACCAACACATACCAACAATGTCACAACAATGTCACAACAATGCCAGTACGAAGCCGGCCTTGGCTGCAATTGTCTTGGAGGAGCCTCTTGCAAGTCATTATCAGGTCATTGCAGGTTAGTGCAGATTCCAAGCAATCAAGGCGTAACAAGGCGGCGAACTCGTACGTGAGACTGTGTTCGCCATGCTGGTGTGAACTTTGAACCGATTTGCTGCAGTCGGCAGCTTCATCATTGAAGCATCCCCTTACAAGAGGTATACTTGAGACATCTTGAGACATTGTTAGGCCGAAGTTGCATCTGATGCTATGGGACAATGACCAGAACTGCTGGGACTCTGAATCAAGTTCATCCCAAACAAGATGAACCTCCGTCTAAAGAAGTACTGTATATAGTGCCTCAAGCCTTCTGGACAGGGTTCGTAGCCAAAACGAATTTTCGTTCCAAATCGACACCCCGATCCCTTGTTGTAGACGGTGTGAAGATCGACACAAGTCGTCTCGGCAAAAACAAAGTCTGCATAAGCGATCTCGCTCTCATTGCGGCCCCTATCTCGTTCAATGCACGGAAGCGAACAACCCAACACCCAACACCAACACCATGTCCATAATTGCCATCGAAGCATGTATGAATTCGAAACGGAGCTGCATAGCAACATACGAGATTTTGAGCCGAAACATCAATCGGGCGCGCCTTCGAGGCCGCGGCCGGCAAAGCGAAGGCCTGGGCAAGGGAGAACATTACGTCCCAAGCATGAGTCACTCTCAACGTCGAAGAGCGGACATCTCCAGCCACTTTTGTCACAAGCAGTGCAAGCCACTGACATGCGCAAGGCAAGGTCTCTACGGATCTGAGTTTTGTTTGTTACACATAGCGTGGCCTCGGACACGGCCATTCTTGCTCGGCGCGGCACACCCGCAATCGGGGGAACCTAGGGCACCCTTCGCTGCTACCCTTTTGCTAGTCCCTCCAAGTGGTAAAAAGCGGCTCGGCAAGCAAGCGGGGCGGACATAGCTTCTCGCATGTGCTGCGCAGATGTTGCGGCAGTCGATCTGTGTAAGAGATAAAAGCGTAAAGAAGGGGAAATGAAGAATTAGAGACGGCCACTTCTTGTCGAGTGAAGCCTCTCCATCTTGAATCGGACGATGATTAGGGCGATTAGGGCGGTCACGCCCATTAACTATTTGAATCTACCCGTTGTGTAAACTGTGCTTCTGATATGGGTAAACCCTAAACCCAAAAGCGATCTGCACTCCTTTCTGCGTGTTGCCCAATGAGGGCCTGCTCATACCCACTATAGACCTTAATCGGCGACAGGGTTTCCAATCCTGGGGCCATTGTTTCATTGCTGCCATGTGCTCTCCGAAGCAAGACGTGCTGAAATCCACTGCGGCATGTGGATACACCCTGTAATAATTGGCTTCTAGCTACAGGATTATACTATACGTCTCTGCACTTCTGCCATCTTCTATATCCGCATCGTTCCAAGCAGCAGCCAGTCAGTTCGGGATTTGCACTTAATCTCTGTTCGTTCAAAATGTTCGTGCCAACGTTCGTTCTGTAGGGCCTGGCGGTAATTCCCAACAGCACATACTGTTGGGTTTCCGTCTCTAAGCAAAGGGAGCTTTGACCAAATTCGTGGAACACGGCCAACTCGGGAAAGCGACGCGATAATCCAGAAAAGACGGATTATCCATTGAGGATCAGTGAATGCAACCGCCAGGTATATCCGGAAAAGACAGACGGAACCAGCCGAAAATGACCGAACAAAGCGACTACATCCGAGATTTGAATTACGTCGGAGACTAAAGTGGAATTGAACCATGGACACGAAGAAGGAATCGCACGAGAAAATGAAGAGGAAATGAAACGGCAGGAAGCAAAGTAGATAAAACGACCAAATCCGAAGTTTGATCCGATTACTTCGGAGATTGGAAGTGGACTTGAACCTTGGACACGAAGCAGAAATCTCACGAGGAAAAGACAGGAAATGAAACGGCAGGAAGCAATATAGAGCGATGTGGCGAATATAGCAGAAAAGTCAGCAAAGACATTCTGCGATACAGACATGAAGCACGTTGTCATACTCAGTCACTAGCCCAAGACAGCAGCGACTAGAGAGAAGACAGCAGCGCGGCCCTGTCCATAAAGGCTGGGGGCACCGATGCAGAGGTCTAAGAGTGAGGAGCAAGCTACGAGATACTAAGCAGGAGCTCCAATGCACGCGGCAATAGCCTTTCACCGTCCACACGCAGCAAGGAGACTTGGTTTGGGGGTTGGACTAGGGGATAGAGAAGTGAGTGAAGTCTGCCCGCCCAGGGCGCTAAGAAACACTGAAGCCTTCTGTACCACAACGCGATATACGCAAGGAAGCCCCAGGAGCTTGAGGCAGTGGCAAATTGCAGGCAGGGAGTGCGCAAGGTTGGCTTCAGTTGGGGAGAAAGGTAGGTTGGGGCCTCACAACAGGTTCAGTGGCGAGAGGTCGTAGGCAGTGGGTGCGCTGGGGTGTTCGTTCGGGTGTGAGGCAGGGTTGAGATTGAGAGAGAGAGAGAGACAGAGAGAGAAAGAAAGACAGAGAGATCGAGAGAGAGTGCGAGAGGGGGAGCGAGAGAGCGAGAACGAGATGCTGTACATAAACACATGTTCGGCATGTTCTGCTGTTAAGCAGCTACACATGCGTATGTGTACCTGTTGGATGTCATAAACAATCATGTGAATGTACGAAGTTGGCTCGCAAACGCGATGGATCTGAAGGAAATGAGGATCAATGGCCAGTTTGAAGCTGTAACTCAATGAAGTGAAACATTGACTTGCGATGTACACGAAGAAATCATCGTTTCACAAAAAGCAATGCCCGTGCGGAGTCTTGCCGATCTATGTGAGTCTTATTCCGCTATCCCGTCATTCACACGTGTACAAATCACTCGTGTTTCACTTTCAACGCTCAAGACTCGGTCCGCTTTACCAAAGGAGGCCAACCCAAGTATCGGTAAGTGCAACGCACAGCAACTGGGATAAACGCTGATCTGGAGTTCGTCTCGATGCATGTTAAGCACGAAACAAAGGTTCACATGCTCTTCCGTGACTGCAAAATTTTGTCGGGTGCTTGTCGCCGGGAGAGTGTGAGCTGGGAACTGGGACTGTGCCATGTCCTTTCATTTGCTGGAAAGCCTTTTGCTGCAAAACAACCGAAACAGTAGTAGCCCCCAAAACCTTTCTGGGGAAGGAAGGTTCGGGAACGGACGGCCGCCTCTGCAAGATTGCTGCCGGCAAAACAACCGAAACGATATTTTCCGGACGTCTGTGGTCAGGCTACACAAACGGACATGCTCGTGGACGTGTGCACCGGCCTGGGGGGGGGGGGGGGTTCGGAAGACTGAGGCAGCCAGGCAGGCGGTGGAGGGGGAGGGGGAACGGGATCAGGGAGTTACCTATGCTTCGCGAAGGAAGAGAAAGGGCGAGGCGAGCGAAACCATGGACGTGTCTATGGCCAGGTGGGGTGAGGTGGAAGGGCGACGGAGCCACCTCTGGAAGGTGTTTTGATGTGTTTTGCCGTTTCTGCCTGGCAGAAGACACGATGGGCCTGCTGTGCTACAACTGCATGAGTTGCTTGTGAAGCGTGACTAATGAGGTCTAGCCGCTCCTGCTCTTTGCATTTTAGTACTTGCACTTCAGGATTATGAATGAAGTAAATGGTCATTCCCTCTGCGCAACGGGGGGAAGAAGTGGTGAACTTGGGGGTTGAAGGGAGTGTAGGAAGAATCGCTTACTGTACTGGGATGGCTGGTGGCATTCTGGCGCACAACAGCCAGCTAACTCATGAATTTAATCGCCGAACCCACGTTGTAGTACGGTCATCCGTGTGTCTACGTTCAACGGTTGAACCTGGATGCCTTTACGCTAAGCCGAAGTTGCACAAAATAACGCTTCTTTCATCGGAACTGCTTGAAAAGCACTGCCTGTCAGTCACTCGTCCAAGTTGCTTCCCTAATATTAAACTTAAACACCTGCCTCCCCGTGATATGCAGCGCATTGCAGCGCCAATGACAGGCGTGGGGGGGCATTCAGTACTTACTGGGAGGAGATTCTGCTTCTTGCATTTGCCATTCCTAGCCCGGTTTCCTGGTGCCTGCACAGTGTTGGGCAAAACCACATTGCTGCAGACAGATGAACACGGGCCCCAAGTTGCGTCTGCCCTGTGCAAAGACAGATTGACCTCGTCATTCATTTATCGCGGAGACGGCATCTTTGTACACAACTCCGATCAAGCATTGGCGGTTCCGCATTTTACAGATCTGCCACTGTGTATGTACATTGCAAGTTGCTGCTCAGAGCTTGCCTACAAGATGAGGGCTTGACTCTGTACTGGCTCCTTGCAAACAACGCCGGTCTTCGGCATCGCTGCGTTGTGGAAAGTGAGCAGTCGGCTCATGACAGCTTGCGCGTTGTGTACCAGTACAACAAGAAGACACTGATATGACCATGCACACTAATCATGAATTGCATGATTCCGTCCAGCTGCCTTCAGCCTGCAACGTCTGACTCGCTGTCGGCGACCTGCGGTGAGCCGAAATCTCATAACGTATCTCGCAATGTCACGGCAGATCACGATGTGAAGACGTTGTCTTTGCAAATGGAAAGTGCTACCCCGATATATCTCTCAAGAAGTAGCTGAGTAACATGCTTCGGCCAGCATCGACATGTCCATGCAAAAACACATTCGGAACTTGAACAATCGCGTTACGTACACTACACACTCTAGAGTGGCTGGGGAATATGTCACATACACCACGCACATCGGTCTGTGGGAGGGGTTTTGATGCTTCATGCTGCTAAGCAGCAGCTGGCTCCAGTGCTGTTTCGACACCAATGAGCCTTCCAAATTCTACCTGACAGGGCCATCAGAGCCGTGCAGGCTATTTTACACGAAGCCGGACACCAGAAAGGTATAGAAAGGTGCAGTGAGATTGTCCTGCACTTGTACTGTTTGGTAACCAATGCCAGGCAACTTCCAGACCGACAATTTGCTCGCCGGCATGGACATCCACTCGAACCTTTGCGAGATAGCCAACTAATCATCATCCACTCAGTCAGCCAGCACAGATTTCTTGCATTTTATTGCATTTCCTTGCGTTCCTCGCTCCAGAGGTTCCAGCTCTGCTTGGCAAGGGGTCTTTCCTTCGATGGCAAAGGCCCATGATGTGGAGCGTTCGGCCACTGGCCTTGGTCGAGGAGCACATGGAAGAGCAAGGATGAGCAACGTGCTCCGGTGCTCTGAAAGTACCAGGTCGGGCACCGTAATGAATAGCAGTTGGGCACCCAGACTGCCACTGTTTCCAACTGCCGCCTGGCCAGATGTGGGCTAACGCACGGATCCGACTTGATCATATGATTATTCCAGATCTGGGCATTCTCCAACAGCTTCCCGCAACTATGAGGCAAATAAACACAACGCTTCGATTCTGTGCGACCTGTGACGGCTGTAGATGGAGAAATTGAGAGTAGTGAGCTTCGGACATCCTGAACTTACTGTACTGACCTGCTATTTCGCCACCGTTCCACATCTATAGCTGTTGGCCGACCCTGTCATGGATTGTTACTGTACGATTTGTGTATGTTTAGCTTGCTATGGTTGGTTGTTTCGTGTCAGACCCGGTTCCGGAGCGGTGGGGTCTGCTGCACAGCATTCGCACAGCTATGCCATACCGATTGGGATCAGTGGTCGCACTGTGGTCACTGACCCCTCGACAATGGCGGCATCAGATCTTTCCATTGTGCAAGTTATGCTGGAGCTGTACCGTTGCAGGAAACTTCTAAATCTCAAAGGCTCTTTGGGAAGGTTTTGGGATCTTGCAAGACTGGATCGAACCAAGAACAAACATGTGATGCCATGTGCGCAGAACTCCAAACCGGCCTGCTCGACGGCAACAATGTAATCAGATTTCTCTAGATCAAAGATAACATCGTGATTCCCGCTGCGAGCAGCACTGGCACCTGCACGTTGCGGCACGTCCATTAATACGACCTTCCGCAAAGGCAAACTTCAAGGACAAGTGAGACCTTTCTCGTTCTGCAGCAAGTCCCACGCTGTGACATGGCTCGCAAACGTCGGGCCGGAAATGCATCGAAGCTTCATGTCTTCCATATACCTGCAGAAGATCTCATGATATCACTTGAAACTAAGTACAGTCACACTAGTACTAGTCGAATGAAAGCAAGCAGTGCAGCGTGACGAAGTGTGTGGCGAAATATCGCCTAATTGGGATGCCAGTGAAGACCAAGAGCTGCCAAGCATTTGTGACAGCGCCTGCAGAGTCAGCTGAGCAACTAAATTTGTGAAACGTATTCAAACGACGTGCATCTTAAGAGATCTTGAGAGGCTGGCACCTGCCATGCTGGAGCTTCAGCAATCGATTCCGGTGCCTTGCACAAAGCTCACTACGCATTTCTGCACTTCTGAAGCACCTGCAAAAGCGACCCAACTTCCTCCGGTATTCAAAGTATTGCAAGCGCTGCTTAGTTTGCAGTGGCACCTTGTAGAGACTTTTCCGGTAGCCAAAGTTCAACACTCGAATGCGTTCGATCTCTCCACCGACTGGGACTGCACGCACGGCCCATGGATCCTCGGCAACCCATGCATAGCAGCATATTGCAGGTGTCGCTTCTGTTGAATGGGAGGTTTCACACACTTGCCGCACGCTGCTCATGCTTCAGTCTGGACAGCTGCGCTAACGGGCCTGGAAGATTTGCTCATACCCAAGACATTCATACAGACGTTGAGCTGGGACGTTGTCAGAACAGACCATCAGCAAGACCTGCCGGTCACACTGCACAACATTGCCTCTTGTTTGTGCTTCAGAAAATACACCGCGAAATCACAGCGCGACCGCATCATCATGCTAGCAAATGGTTCCAACCTGCTTATTACAACAACTCTTCGTGTTTTCGGGCTGTCTATGGGCTTGCACTGCAATGCTTTAGGGTTCAGGGCAGGGCCACAGGGTTGGGTATGCGGCTTCAGGCCTAGGATGGTTGAAAGCGGCTTGGGGTGCCTCCTGAACTTTGAGAAAGTCGCGCGACCACTGTTCGGCCTCACGGAACCGGCAACGGACCAATCTCAAGAAAGAGAGCATCAAAGTCATAGGAGAGCTCTTAAGTGAAACCGTTCACATCCACGAGAACAGGACTCCCTCCTTCAGGACCAGCTGCCGTCCAAGTCCTTGTCCCCTTGTGCTTTCGAGGACCTGAGAAGAGAAGCTCCGAACCTGACGCATGTGACGGCGAGCCACAAAAGACCATAAACCAAGCAGCAGATAGGTTTGCCATGTACGCCACTCGCTGCCTCAACATGAACTTTATCAAGCTTCATCGCGAAAGTTCAGTCAAGACTTCAGGGTGACGCGTTCGCTTCGCACGAACAGACTCTCAATCGAGGCTGCCGAGGCTGCCTTGGAAGTCTGCGAACAGACGCCTTGATGCTCGACACACGCGCAGGAGAGGACACAGGCAGCTCCTGCTGCAAACTGCTGTAAACTGGTGTGTGCACTTGCATGTCCAACCAACAAGTGCTGTCGTCCTCAAATGGCATGACTTCAAGGCCGACGCAGCCGCAAACGCGTCCTTTGTTTTTCAAGTTTGTGAGCAACTCTGAAGTCCCAGTGGATACCCGGCACACCTGAAATTGCTGACTGGCGCCTGCTCTTCGAGCGATCAGCAGACAAGCACACCCACCAGGTGACGTGTAGCGCATTGCCAAATCATCATACACCTGCCGTGCAACATCATGGAAAACATGATAAAGTGTGAAGTCCCATCATTTGTGTTGAGGATTCCCATGTGACGAGAATCCCAGGTATGTTGCACCAGCATGCACCTACGCAGAGACAACATTGTGATAACGCCTCACTGGCTGAAGTCGACTTCGAAAGGCCTGCTCCACGATCCTTTGCAAGCATTGCCCTTGGGGAGGTGGTCGCTTCTGCGGTGTATCAAATGTCGCGACGAAGAAGCCGTGCGCAACGACTGCAGCCACATCCTATACAAGATGTCGCTACTGGCTGTGTCAATGCTGTGCAACACTCTGTGCAACAACTCTGTCCTCCAGCTCCTTCTTGCAGGGACCGCTTTCTCCGAGAGGTGCGATTCGAAACTGCAAGACAACTCACCATGCCGCACAGAGACCAGCATCTCCAGCTGGTGTATTGCACGTTGCGCGTTCTTCCTGCTTGTGTGCATCTGTGTTCTTGCTCGCGCTCGTGTTGCTTATATATCGCTTGGCAGAAGAAATTAAATGGGATAAGCTTCCATGATACAAAGCGAGCAGGGTTCTCAGCGTCCGACACTGGATAAGCTTCTTCGAGTCAGCTTGCAGCGTAGCCTGGCCAGCAAAGCTGAGTAAATGAAAGCGGGCTGTGCGGTATTATGAAGTTGAACAGTGAAATTCGCCCTTCTGCGGAACTCTTCCGCAATCCTTCCGCGAGTACTGGTTCTTGCGTCTTCCGGGCGGGTTGCTTCCGTGGATGCTTCAGCGAGCTCATTTCGTGAGGTTCCGGGAGTTCGCACCCGAATCCGCGAGGCGGAGTGCGAGCAGGTCTGTTAAAGTTAAAGTGCGAACCGGAACACGTCGGAGGTCCAAAGTGGGATCGACGAAAGATTGCTCGGGGCAAGGTGGACGGCTGAGGGCTGAAGCCTGACAGTTAGTGGCTTCATGAGGTGGAAAAACATGAAGACATGTGATGACCTTGGCCTGAGTCTAAAGCGTCTTGTGCTGGTTCCTAGTAGTGCGGAATGTGAATGCGAGTAGATCTGAGGTGCGCACTGGTTCATTGTTTTGCTATGAACATCAATGAACACTAAAGGCGGCCAAAATGGAAGGTTTTTGCTCAGCGTGTTGCTGTGCTGCTACGTCTCTCTTCCAGACGCGTGGCCATGTCCAGCTGTGACTACAGGTCATTAGTCATTGCAGGTCGGCACCCGTACAGCCGTCCATCCTAGGCTTGCTGAGTTCCAGTGGTTCCAGGGTCCGCCAGGCAAGAAGCTTTGCGGTACTGTATCTCGACATCGAGGCTACAGTCGTCCTCTCGCCAAAGCAGGCGCCCCTCCAATGACACTCACCTTTCCACATCATGCTATTGCTTGGGTCTCGTGTCCATTCTGTACTCGAAAAACTCGAAATCACCCGCATATGTCCGGTGCACTGTTCGAGGCTTTCAAAGATCCGTGTCACGAAAAAATGGTAGGGATACACGTTCATGATTCTGGGCTCATCCGTACGACGGCGATTTGGCTTTCATAGTCTTGAAAACGTCTCGGAATCGGTTTCTTATGTCCCGTGACTGGACTCGTCACGTGCAGAACTGTCCTCGCTTTCGGGCTTGGGCTGGACATGGTCTTGGAAAGGTTTCTTGGGGCATCTTGGAACTTAAGGGCCTTGGAATGTGCGCGGAGTGGTCTTTGCTTATCTTATCTTATCTTTGCAAGCTCTTAGCGACTCCAGGTGCCATTGCTCTGTTTGGGCATCCGCCCCGTCCAAATCCTCCCCCCAAGCCCAAAGCCACCCTTTTTTTGCTTGGAATGGGTACCGATTGGGATCTGAAAGCTGATGCTTTGCCGGCACTTGGGGGGGCAGTTGGGGCACCAAACACCCCCCCCCCCCCCCCCGTCCTGCCACTCCCCCCCACGTAGCTGAGATCCGGATCTGGCAGCCCTTATCTGGCCTTTCTTGCGCTGGAATGGGTACTTTTTATGGGCGCTTAACGTCGGGGCGCCTTTGTGGCGTGGCTGGGCCCCCCCTACGTTGGGCCGGGCCGAGGCGCGTGGCGTAGCGTTTGCGCTCTCTTTCTTGGGCATGGGTACCAGTACATTTGTTCTTGCCCTGAAGGTGCACCAGAAAACGCATCAGAACATACGAGTGCCGCAGCCTGTACCAACATGGTGTAGAACCGAGCAGCGAACGCTCCCGAATCCAGGTGCCAATCTTAAGTGCAAGCCCAACCCTGCAAGTCTGAAGAGCCCAAACGGATCCAAACGGCCTAAGCCTAAACGCCTAAAGCTGACATCCGTTGACACAGTTTTGCGAGTGGACATTGTCCAGAATGACCCTCGCCCACGTTTTCTTGCGTTCTGGCCTGCTCCTGCCCAACTTCGCCACGACATTGAGGCTCACTGCCTCGGGGCGGTTCGCTGTGCGCTGTCCCTCCTCTGATCTGGTCGTGTTCTGGGCGCTGCACATGCCAAAAGATCACGTCCCTTTCTTGCCTTGGCCTCCTGGAGACCGCAATGCCTGATTTGTTAATGGACTTGCAGATCACAGTGCTCCACACTTCGTGCTTCCAAACAAAAGCACAGCTTGTTCTGCACACGCTGGCGACTGCTTGGCAAAGATTCGCCGATCATGACAACTTCTGGTGTGGGTGGTTGCATGTCGCTTTGCCGCCCGGCTTCGCTGAAAAAATGTACACTGCATGCTCCAGCTTGTTCTCTGGTTGTCAGGTCGTTGTCGTCAAATCATTCCTGAATCTTGTTGATTTCCCGAGGCCGCGTTCTCAACGGGCCCGTACGCATAAACGAACTTGCAGCCTCGTTGGTTTAAATCTTCCCCCAGACAGTTTTCTGCGCAATCCGAATCCCAAGGTATAAAGAGTCACAGAATGTCAGAAAGCTGGTGTGGCTTTGCTTCGACTGTCATTCTCACTGCCCTGCGCAGCGTCTCCTTTCACTCACGTCCCTGTCGAACTTCTGCAATTTCGAGCCTTGTGATGGACAGTGGACATGTTCTGTTGGCTGCGCTGACATACAGAGCCATACGCTGGCCAGTACAGGGCCTCAAGCATGGCATGCTTACCTGTTCAGGCAGCCAACGCTGCCAACACACACGGTCCTCTCCAACCCTTCGTAGGCTTCCTCTGTTCCATGACCCTTTTCATACCCCACCGGGGTAAGCAGGGCAGGGAGGGAGGGGAAAAGAACTCCACCCCGCTGACGCGGGCCCCGGATGCATTTCCTCGGGCCTAAACATTCAACGGGGTGGAGAATGGAGACACATTACGGTTATAACCTGTGCACCCTGAGCCTGCCAGACGCGACACAGCGCAAGCTTCAAGGGCTTCGGATGCAGGATCGGGGCCGCAAGTCCACAACTGGCAGCTTGCCAGGCTTGCCATAGTTGCTGCGCGTTCTTGTTCGAGAGGTTTTTGATTTGCGGCAAGGACGAAGGAGATGTGGCCAGGCTCACCGGGATGGAATACCGATGACTTCACCAGGTTCCCTTCCTTCCTCCATGTCCAGGCCCGAAGATAACAAGAATAAAGAAAAGACTACGCACACACCGTCCGCATTCATTTACCTGTTGCCGAGTGGCACACATGTTCCGAAGACAGTGGTCCTTGCAACATGTTTGAACTGTTTCGAGCTAGTGCATCGCTTCTTCCATCTTGGGCCCCACTCCTCTTCTCAGCTCAAATGGCGCAACAGCAGTGTTCAGCCACACACGGCTTAGCATGGCGGCGATGGCATCGTCGTGCCATACTGAAGAACATGAAGAGCATCGATGGTTAGCTCAAATCTTGTCGACTCCTCATGACTCCGCTTTGAGCTCGCGCGGTAATGAAGTCAGTCAACCTAGCGCTCATGCTCAGCTGCATGGCCCAGAGTTGCAATGATCTTGAGCCGCAATGCAAAGTGAATGCGGCAGCTACCTTGCTATTTACCTTGCGCTTGCTCGATGAAACACAAGGAACGGGTGCCTGATGAGTCTCACCAGATCTAGAAAAACATTAAGCAAAATCGGCACCTGGCTGCTTGATCTCCTTGTGATGGACATCTCCGACCAAAGGTCGAGCATGAAACACCTGAAACGGCATCAGCTCGTCACAGCAAGAGTTGCAGATGTGGCGCTTTGGCACGCGCTGCAGGTGCAGCAAACCTGACACCGCACCTTTTTTGACTGCAGGCTGAGCATCTGAACAGTCTGATCAGTCTGAGCGTTGTGCACGAACCTGCCATTAGACTGCGCAGAAGATCGGGTTCACGAGGTTGACGCTTCATGACGCTTCACATCGCTTCACTGACATGCTCTCCGGGAAGCCACACATCTCACCCCCTGCGAGGGAGACAGCTTGGTCGAGATTTTCTTCTCGTTTACGTTCCACTCCAGGAGTTTCAGAACTTTCAGAGCACATCCTCAAAAGCGTCCAACGTAACTTCGGGTGAGCGTGCGGCCTTCCCGGCGGCAGTGACAAGAACGTAAACAAAAGACATTGAACATCATTCTCATGCTGAACAGTGTCCCTATGAAGAGTAACACAAAAGCTGTAGCCTTGCGAAGAGGTCACAAGCTGCGGACGTTGCCTGAAGCAGAAACTAGGGGAAAAAAACGGCACATGCACTTAGGTACAGGTACTTTCAGGGAGCTGTCACAAGCCCAAGGCCATCACACGGGTGTCATCAACTCCTCATTTAACAAGCAGGTAAAATTCTTGCGGTTTGCAGATGCAAACCCAACATTGTCTTTTCAGTCTGACAAGGGGACTATGCGTCCTCAATGTTCGCCGACCTCATCTTGCCGCGTGAGGTCGAACTCCTGAACTG